TGCAGGCCTGAGCAAGAAGAATAGGATCGAAAAGAGAGACTATTTAATACAAAGTGTATAACCAGTCTGTAGACTGCAGTATCTGACTTAAGATGGAAACTTGAAGAGACTGAACCTGATGATTGAGAGAGAAATGCACAAAGCTAAGAACAGCTTCTTTTAACCTTTCTCTCCCTATGGTATAGCTTTAGCCTCACATGTGTATCTATCCTACTATTGTTATGTTGTCTAGTTGACAATATTTTGAAATCAGTTATCTTTGCTCCTAAATCATTTTGCAGCAACTATGTTCCTGTAGAGAAGTAACCATGACCTTTAAAAAAATACTGTCCTATTACATAATGTTTGTCTTTTTTTGTCTCAGTTACCACAAAAGAACAAGTGATATAAATCTTTATCTCTCTCTCATACTCAACTTTCAGAGGTTGGATTGACTACACTGGAAAGTGGACACTTGCCATGTCAGTTAGCTATTACTGAATATCAGAGCGTTCCCCAGATGTAGTGACTTTCGTTGCTCAGGAGTCTCTGGGTCAACTGCGCAGCTCTTCTGGTCTGGGCGGTGCTAGGCTGCAGTCAGCTGGCCTCATTTAGCCAACATTTGCCCAGGCATCTCCAATCAACTGTTGAGTCAACTGGAGGCTGGCTACTCTTACGATGGTCTTAGCTACACCAGCTTGATTCTGTCCTGGGTTGGGAAGATCCCCTGGAGAAGGGAAAGGCTACCCACTCCAGTATTCTGGCCTGGAGAATTCCATGGACTATGGAGTCTCAAAGAGTCGGACACGACTAAACGACTTTCACTTCACTTCATACAATGTTTGAGTGGCCGAGTCTTAACCACTGGACTGCCAAGGAACTCCCAGCAAATTGTTTCCTTGAGGGAATGTGGGCACAACATTGCTGGATCTTCTAATTTCTAACAAAACAAAACCAAAAACACCTGAAAATCTCAATTTTAATGTCGAATTCCCCAGTTTTTAAATTATTGTTGTTGTTCAGTTACTAAGTCATGTCCAACTCATATTCATGTCCACTGAGTTGATATTGCTATCCAACAATCTCATCTTCCGCTGTCCCCTTCTCCTCCTGCCTTCGATCCTTCCCAACATTAGGGTCTTTTCCAATGAGTTGGCTCTTCATATTAGGTATCCAAAGTATTGGAACTTCAGCAACAGTCCTTCCAAGGAATATTCATTGTTTTAAATGTTTAAATAATAACACCAAAATCCACTGATCCTATAGGTCAGACACTTTCATGAACCACCAGCTTGGCATCTCTGTAGGGAACCCACCAATGATAGCCACTGCCGAGTTCCATGCTTTCCTGGACTTCATTCCTCCGTCACTTGCATCATCAACATTAAGATGTTAAACACTTCTTAAGCACTAGAGTCCACGTGATAAGAAGAGAGGAAGTAAATTTTATTGGAATGAGGGTTCTGGGCTTAGTGTTGCTAGAGCTGCTCCAGGTTTTTGCTCAAAACCCTCCACCCCCCACTATTAACAGGAGTGTCCTTGCTCACAACCTGCCAACCCTGCACCTTTAGCAGGAGTGACCATAAATTTTTAAAGAATCTAGAGATGAGGAAAAAAAAAAGAATCTAGAGATGAGAAAGGAAGCTACATACACGCAAAGAGAAAACCCAGATAGAACCAAGATGGCAACAAACCTGACCTCTAACAAACTGAATCTCATCATATCTTGATTTTACTACATTAGCATATTAGTAACACACCTACCAGTAGCCAGGACCAGACATTAAAGACCAATGTTTCTGCCTTGCTGGCTCCCATCAGAGGTACTTGCCGAAGCCCTAACTACATTTTTCCACCCCCAAGGGCAGGCTGAGCACAGCTGGCCCCATCCCTTTGGTCGTCCAAGCTCTACCATTGGCATCAGGAATTAATCAGGCCTTCAGACATTAACCTTCTAATGATTTCTCCAAGATCCTAGGTTCTGATAACTTCATTTCTCTTTTACTCTCTCTAGTCTTAAAGATGATAATCATTTTCTTAAATTATTAACCTCTGGGTTACATAAACATTCACTTCTTGCTCTTTCAGCCTTCTGATATCCTGCATTGATTAAATTCCTTCTCTTTGAAATAACTTGACTCAACCCTGACTGCTAACAATTACTAGAACAAGAAGTTTATTTTGCATACAAGAATTTAGTTTTTCTGAAATCACAACATGAAAAAAGTTTCTTCAAATCTCAAGATCTTTGCTACAGGAAAGTAGCAACCAAAAAGCCACAAAAAGCAGTTCTATAAAATAGTTATTATGATTGTTCAGCTGTTTATATTTAAAGCCTTCATGACTCATAAAAAAGACTGTAGCTCAAATGTCATCCATAATTGACATATCCCCCAATCTGCCTTCACTCTTCTTGAATCTGTTTCTATAAAGACCAACTGAAGTCAGTACCTAGGAATCAACGTTCTTAGGAATGTTTGCCAATTATGCCAGTGAAGTTGGGTCTGGATTTAACGTGAGCTAGTAAGTATTCCTCTTTTTAATATGTATTTTAAAATAATTTTAAAATAAATATCTTTAATTTAAAAATTTAGTAAGTACTTATAAACCATCTATGCTGGGCAGTGGAGGCTAATAATTACTCATACTAGAATAGGAAGTTTCGTTTTATGGAAAGTCTCACCTGAGGATATCTTGAGGCGGTTAGATCAAAGTTTAAATATACAAATGTGTTTCTAGAAAATGGGATTATATTGTTCTTTTCTTTAGAAACATCTACACCAAACTAATAATTATGGCTGGTTCTTGGTTAAAGAAATTGTTTAACTGTTGTCTTTTTATAATAAGTACATATATTTTCATTATAATGAAAACCATTTTAAAAGTTCTTACAGTGCAGATTTAAAAGACTGAGATTGACATTCCCTTTTTAAGGAAAATGCCTAGTGCATGCCTTTTCAATAAATAGCTATGAAGTGCACTGTACTAAGAGAACCCCAATGTATTGGGTTGGCAAAAAAATTTATTTGTGCTTTTCTGTAAGATCTTATGATAAAACTCAAGGAAACTTTTTGGCCAACCCAATATTTCTGCCCCAGGGAATCTAAATCTTATGGTCAAGGTTCACAGTCATCTTTATAATAAGTAGCTAATATGTGATAGACTCCTAATACACATTTGTTTCATGAATACCTGAATGTACCATCAAAAGTATTTTATTCAGAGTCTCATTTCATAGATTAGCCCTCTTCTGTTCATTTCTCATACCTGACTCACATTTCATCACTTCTGAAACATACATTTCTCACTTTTCAACAATTCTGAAATCAGAATAGGACTTACTTATAAGTGTGATTCTTTTAAACCTTGTTTCATGGACAATCTGCAGCATTTTCTCTTTTATAATGTAAGATGATATGTCTTAGATGGACAGCATCTTGGATTGAATGAAATATAATACATATTATGTTTTCTGACTTTAGAAAATACATATGACTATTTAGGCATGTTTCCTCCAAGGTTCAACTGGAAAAAGTTTTCATGGGGCCACTCCATTCAATGATCATTCAAACCTCCAGTAATGAGATGAAATCTACAACTACTGATTTATAAATGTTAAAACTAACAAGCTACAGCATTGTAAAAACTTGTGTGTTTATAAGGGCTTATTTCTCAAAGTTTTAAATTATGATTGAATGTTGAACATGTATTTCCTGTTTTGAACCTAATGTTAACATGTAAGGGTATGTAAAAAGCCATATGCATTTCTAAGCATTTATGATATACTTCAAAGATTTTCCTATTTTAATGTTTTAAATGAATCAAAAGTTTAAAAGATCTAAGATATGAAAATGACTAATCTGTATTATAAGAACTCTGAGAAATTATAGAAGAAACACTGGTAAAATCTTATGGAAGAGATTAACTATGAAATCACAATTAAATGTTATGACAAAGACAGGTAAAGAACACTATAAAAAAATTGATAATGACAAAAAGAACAAAATGTCACCAGACTAATAAAATGTTAGGTATAACCTACATTAACTGCATAGTAAAGAAATCACTCTGAGCACTGCAATATAAAATATTGAGCACGTGAGTTAAAACATCAAAGGCAGAAATATATTTGATTCATAATTACTGACACATAATAGTTCTGTGAATGTTATACCAGATACATCGGGTTTAATCTTATAATCCTTTTGCATCTCTTAGCCTTTCTCATTCTCTCATATTTTCTCATGGAGAAGTTTTAGCTGATGTGCAAGTTAGGAGAAGGGGGCAGTAAGGAAACGGGAAAGCCATCCTTTCAACCCATTACCTATCCCTCACCCTGTCATCCTATGATTGCCAGGGACTCCAAAATAACTTCATTGAGAACCTTCAAGAGCTGCAGTGACCTCCTCTTTCCCCCATCATCCCACACTTCCTGCTTTCCTCGGATCAGGAATGTAGAGTTTGGAAGTACACGTGCCCTCTGCTCTTTCATCTGAGCACCCTCACCTCCTGTTCTGCCGACTCAAACCCTAATTCACCTGCCCAGTGACCATAACAGAGTTACCCACCCCCAGGAAAAAGGGCTAAAGAGCTCTTTTTCCTACTGTATGCTTTAGGGAACGATCATAAAACGTGATGAGTTTTCGTCACTGTAAAATAAAAATGGAAATTCACTTAAGACTGTAGCAACACTGAACATATAGAAAGAAAACCAAAATTTTTGAATTTCACAATCAAAATTATCATAAGATCTAAAAGACAAAGAAGAGGTGATGACTAAGAAAAATATAGTGCTTTTGTGGCTCTGAGTTTACAAAAATATTATTGTCAGTTTCTAATGATGCTGTTGTTATTCACCAGAATAATTTTCCACTGACTTCTAGGTTCCAGGGGTTTTTTTATTTGTTTGTTTAAGTTTTCAAGTGTTACAGTTTTATGGGTAGAGTGGAAAGGGCAAGATGAAAGCCAGACTCATTTAAGTGAGAGCAAGACTGAGATTTACATAAGCAAAATGATTATCTTTAAGAAGATGTTGACCGATTGTGTGATGGTATGGACTGCTTTTTCACACGAAATAATTTCAAAAAGGCCTTCTGAAAACGCTTGTGACATAGGGGATACAAAAAAGGATTGACAAAGGAATTGAACCACTGAAGCCAAAATGTGAAGTCGTACACAGCGTTTTCGAGATCTGAGTGTGTGCCATGACATGAACGAATAATTGTGAACAGAGAGTAGGGAGCCCAGCAAATAGCAAAAACACCCAAGAGAATGGCCAGTGACTTGGCTAGTTTCTTGCCTCTGCGCAGCTCAAGGTGTTCCCTTTGGTGAAGAGTTAGGGAATCTGAATGGGAGAGAGAGCTCGTTTTGGAAGCAGTTAAACTATTCATCTGGGCTCTTACGGAAGATAAGAGGCTGCTCTTTCTTCCTGATTTCTCAGAATGAAGGGATGCTGCTGATTGTTCCAGGTTGGAAAGAGATGGCCTCGAAAACAGTCCGTTCCTGAATGAGCGTCCGCTGCTACTGGAAGGGACAGAAATGAATCCAGAATGCCCCCTACTGAGATGACCGCGCTTCCATAGGCTCCAGTAAATATACATGTTGAAATAAGCCACTAGTAAGACTGGGATCAGGAATTCGAAGATTAACGTGAGGGCAAGGATATGTGATTGTGTAAGGAATTTAGGTTCGCAATCTCCCTGCAATTCCTTCCTAACCTCTGAAACTAGTATTGGCCCATGCACTAAGAAGGCCACCACCCAAACGGCCACCATCAGAGCCACAGTCTTCAAGGTCCCAGTATGTTGAGCTCTGTAAGATACCTAAAAGAAACCAAATAAATTATTTTTACTACAATGAGCACATGTTGATTGCACAAAGCTTACCGTCAGCCCTCAGGAGTTTCCATGATGTGCACAGAGCAACTGGTCACTGAATCTGGGTAATGTGATTGGGCCAGGGCAGAGGGTTTGATTTTGGTGAACCCTGGGCCTAGATGTAGACTTTCTTAACAGTTTAAGGTTAAACGTCTGACACTATGGAAAATGTCAAGGTTAATATCTAAAAGAAAAACACAATTTTTCCTAGTCCACAGACACTAATCTGAACTGTTAACTGAAATTGAGGGAACATGTTCACAGCGTTTTTAACCTGCCAGCTGGGTCATGAGCAGCATTTTTAACAAATTGGAATAATCAATGTCAGAATGCATCACACATCATAAGGATGTGTATTGTTTGATGAAACCTTTGCTTTGGGAAAACATTAATAGATATACATAGAAAGAAATGTGCATACCGAATCACAGTGTAAAATGCATTTATCGCTGAAGTCACAGTAAAAAAATTTGAAAGACAGAATCTATTCTGCAGTTCATGCTGAACCTTCAAGGTGGGATCAAAAAGGAAAGAACTCTTACATTCCCCCAAGATGATGCACAAAAAGAGAGTTAAGTCAGCTGTATGGAGAGACTACAGTGTTACTGAGCAGAACCTAACATTTCTTTCTACAAATGTTATCCACCCAGCAAAAATGGTACTGAAGCAATGGTGGCCAGCCACTTGGGGAGATGTGGCTATGGAGTGCCACAGTCTTTTTTAGGAGTGAAGAATATTCTAAGCCCACTTGAGCACAGGGACAACCTTCTATAAGGAGCAATGAGATTCTGCGAGGGAGGATTGCTCTCAGATCCCAGGGCCATGATAGATTCTAAAATCTTGAAGAATATCTTCTGTAAGAAATCTAAGATGCCAACTACCTGTATTAGGGGTAACCATGTGACCCAAGACTTTTCTAAGGGGACTTGGAGCAATCTCTCCAAACCCCTTTCAGATCAGTAAGATTTCTTCCAACCATGTTCCATGTTTCTCTGCTTATACTCAAGGAAAAGGAAATGATTTACCCATGAAGTGGGGACACATGTCCCTTTTCACCATCTTTCAAGTACCATTTTCTCTGAGTTCTTAAGTCTTTTTCTGAAGTCTGTTCTCATTTTTATTACAAGGGTATAAGAGTGCCAAGCACTGTCTTTCTTTAATGGCTTGTATGTGCTGAGGAGGGCTCACCAACAGGCTAGAGGTAAAAGGAGGCTTGTTTAAAATTTTTAAGTTACTTTTTAAAAAAAAAAAAAAATCAGGGCAGTGGGTTTTTTTCTCTTTTTTTTTTTTACCCTTTTTCCAAATTACTGGTATTTCTGAGGTGAACCTAAAATGTATATGGTGCTAACCGCAAGCTCCCATGTACAGTACATCTTTTTGCCTTCTGTTTCTCATACCACTAATTAATACTTGCACTTAAGTGTAATGATTATGAAGATAGTAACAATACCCAGATGGTCATAAAACTGCATTTCATTTTTTAATTGCTTTGTTCAGCCTTTGTAATGATATGGTACAATACACTGGAAAGTGATCTCTTTTCTGTTATGTATAAGGTCAAATGGGATAACAGACATCCAAGGGAATTGAGATGATGATGCCAATCTCTTCCCTCACCTCTGGGTAGCATTTTAAACAGATGACAGTTCAAAATTGCTTGAATCCAGGCCCATGCCTCCCTGAAATTCATCCATGGCCCACTTCTCACCTTCTACAGAATATGTCCATTATTCAGGATGTCTCCTCTTACCCTGCTTCCTTCCCCACTTCCATAAGACACCCAAACATTCTGTCAGTTAGGTTTCTTTTGTGAGGCAGAGCAGCCCCTGGAACATGCTGGTGTTAATAATGAGATGGGATTGCAGGGCCATTCTAAGTGCTTGTCAGGCATGGCCATTTGCATCGAGCCTTCCTTTCCCCGGTTATTGTCAGATTTCCATTTCTCAAGCCCTGCCTGTCACCCTGACTTGTTACACTGTCTTCTTGACTTTTAGCTACAGCAAGGGCTGTGTTCCCCATGATCACTTCCTACAAGCTCCTGTGGTCTTTGAAGTCTTCCTTCTGGCTTCCTACAGCTGTGTTGGAACTCAGCCAACAGAGGTGCTGGTGCTGCCTGCACACCCCCATGAGCATTCACACACCGCGGAGTTTAGCACCTGTTACACTTGACTCTGCTGTGTGCTGGGGACCCGGAGCCAGCTGACCTGGCCCTCACCAAGTTTATACCCCACATTGTCGGGGAATTTCTCAGGGCAAGACCAAGAAATAAACCCATCCATTTTTCTCTCTGGTCATCACTCCTCAACTCTCTGTAACATCTAAGCCTTTTTTCTAACTGGGAAAGCCTCCCCTTTCCTTTACACAAACCTGAGGTTCACTCAAGAGCTTGAGCCTGCAGTGAAGAAATGTCCCAGTGAACACTAACTAGGAACACTCACTTGAGATTAAAAAGAAAACCCAGAAGGAAAGGGAATGTTTAAAATACAAATGGGGAAGATAATTAACCAGGGCACTGCTTTTCAAACATTTGACTGTAACCTAAAGTAAGAAATGCATTTTAAACTCTAATCAAGGATACTGACAGAAGTATTCATAAAACAGTTCTTACCTTTATTATACACGGGGTACTCTGATTTACTCCAATTTGTAAGTTCTGTCCTACTTCTTTTCATGTTTTTTCATTCTAAGAAAAAGTGACATAACAGGCCACTACACTGACTTCATGACTCAGTAATGAGTTACTACCTGCAGTTTGAAAAATGTGAGATTATAGGCTTCTGGGTTGCTAATCCAAACTGATCTGTACTCTCTCCAAAGTTCGTCCACTACAAACTGCAGTGGACTCTGGTGCCAGTGAAGTACTCAGTGTTAGGTGTCTGGCTGTCCCACCACATCCCATTCTCTACTTCTTACTTGCCATACGGCAGCTCAGCTAGAGAATACATCTCCCGGCTTCCCTTACAATAAGGTAAGACCATGTGACTACATTTCACCAGTGAAAGGTGAGTGGAAATGATTGTGTGCTTCTGCACTACTTGGTTAAAAGAAAATCCTTTGCCCTGGACTTCTGCCTTCTGCCCTTCTTTTCTGAAACCTGAAGTGGCAATAACTTGACTTTGAGCATGCTGAGGAGGTTAATGACTTAGGATGGCGGTCAGCAAACCACTGTCTATGGAGCACGTGTGGCCCACCAACTATTTGGATGATAAAGTTTTATTTGAGCAATTGAAACAGAGGTCATAAGTGCCTGCTCTAGAGAGTACAGAGCGTGGGCCCTTGGGTGAGTTCCTGGAGCAGAGCCTTCTAATCTTCCTGAACTCTTCTATGAGAGAAAAATTAACTTCTGCCTTACAGTCTGAGTCTCAGCATTTTGGAATCTCTTTGTAATGGCATTTTATCCTATCCTTATCCAATGCACCCTTCCAGTCCTGTCTGCCTCCAAGATGCACAGCTCTCTCAGGACAGAGCTGTCCCTGTCCTCTCAATGCCTCCAGCACCACACATGGTCCCTTTGTTTATGGATCCATTTCCACATAAGACAGTTATATTCCTCAAAAAAAAAAAAAAAAAAAAAGACTGAAGATTCAGTTCTGTATCCCTGTCACACAATCATTCCCCACACATTTAGGTCCCTGGGACTCAGGAGTGAAGGAAGTTTCCCATCAAGGTCTCAGACTCTTCAGATCACTGTCCCATTATTTCTGTGGCCTCCACCCATCCCCCAGCCTTACTAACATCAATCTTATTCTCTCCTTTGTTGCTGATATATTTACCTTGCTTAAGAACTGTCGTGAACTAATTGATGAGACTATTCCGGATCTTGGTTAGTTCAGACTTGCTTGGCATGGGTCCTAAACTGGCACTGGTTAGTTCCACTGTTATAACCTGTGGCTTCCCTGTACACTGTTTTTTCCTCTGGTCATTCAAAATTAATTTTCTCATGACATTCAGAAGTCTGGGAGTCTTTCTACCTGCCCAGCAAGTTCAATCCTGAAGAAAGCGTTCAGGTCTCAAGTTTTCTAAGGAGTTGAACAGATAAACCTACTGTGAGACTCATGCATATCCAACCTACTACAGGCTCAGTTTACCACTTCTCACAACTTGACCTGGATTCTGTTGGACATTTTCCCATCTTCATTGGATGCAGGGGAGTGACTTAACCAAACACACAGGAAGTGTTCACCAACAGCCAATGAGAACTTCGTGCCAACAAAAGGGTAATCAGGCTTCTCTAAGGTCGGTCAATTAAACAAACAAACAAAAATTTTTGCTTAGGGACCCAAAATTTATAAAACTTACAAATATATAATCTTCTAAGGAGGATAAATTAATGTTTTGACTTACAGCATTCGAGACTGACTGGTATCGATCAAAGCTGATGAGTACAATGTTATACACAGATGCTGTACACAAAAGGTAGTCAGTAGTGAGCCAAAAGACACAAATCTTATTTTCAAACTGCCAGTTGAAGAGCTTGTGAGGGATGAACAAAGGAATGGAGATCACACCTGCATGGGGGGAAAAATGAAGGTTAAAAAATATAGCACATATCAATGAATACGAAGAGAGGCAAGCATGACACAATAAACTATCTGAACTGACCAAAAACTACTTGATTATAATTTAGAAATTCATGGTATTTCATCAACAAATTCAGTACTGATCTCCTACACGTTCTTTAAATACCATTTTAAAAATAGCTGTCACAAACATCGTACCTTTAATGGCTCCTTATTACTTTCCAAATTAAGTTCAGGTCCCAACATGTATTTCCAGCCATATACAGCACACATCATCTTTTGTGGTCATGATCCGACCCAGACAGGATGGGCCACCCTTCCCCTAAACACATCTCACATTGCCACATCTCTGCTTTTGCCAAGAACGTTCTTCTTCCTAGAATATCTCTCCTTTACAGAGAAGTCTATTTAACTCGTTCTCATTCTTCACATAGTGTAAAAAAATGATATCTTTCTTGTCATCTTCACTGGAACTTCCTCGGTAGAAGTGACCCTTTGTCACCTGCCCTTTCCTGGCACCTCAGTCATCTCTCCCTCTCTCGTGTACAGACACATCCTACTTTACAACATTGTCACGTGTTAAGATTGGGACTGTGTTGGAAGTCGATCTTTGTATTTTTCACAACATCTAGAGTTGACTAATGGCTCACACATTTAACTCAAATAAATTAATAACAGCTAATAGGTAGTGTGCAGTTACCATAAGCCAGACACTGTCCTGTGTGCTTTACATATATCATCTCCTCTAACTGGCATAGAAGCTCTGTAAGGTAGGGACAGTGTGGCAGAAAAAGCCTTCTGCTACTCCCTCCACTCCTGGCTCACGCCTCTTCACCCTTGTTGTTCAGTCACTAAGTCATGTCTGACTCTTTGCAGCCCAATGAACTGCAGCAAGCCAGGCTCCTGTGTCCTCCACTATCTCCCAGAGTTTGCTTAAATTCATGTCCATTGAGTCAGTGATGCTATCCAGCTGTCTCATCCTCTGCTGCCCCCTTCTCCTCCTGCCCTCCATCTTTCCCAGCATCAGGGTCTTTTCCAAAGAGTTGGCTCTTCACATCAGGTGGCCAAAGTATTGGCGCTTCAACTTCAGCATCAGCCCTTCCAGTGAATATTCAGGGTTGATTTTCTTTAGTACTGACTGGTTTGATCTTCTTTAGGTCCCAGAGACTCTCAAAAGCCTTCCCAACACCACAATTCAAAAGCATCAATTCTTCGGCACTCAGTTCATGGTCCAACTCTCACATCCATACATGACTACTGGAAAAAACATAGCTTTGACTGTATGGACCTTTGTTGGCAGAGTGATATCTCTTCACACTATCTGACCTCAAATACACCACACCCACACCCACACCCACACCCACACTCTCAGATCCTTGAATGGGTGTCCTGGCATGCAGCACACTTCCCTCAAAGAACGCTCCTTCTGTTTACTCAAATGAGTCTTCCTCACTGAGCCCTAACCCTGAAGTTTATGTTGTATCCTCTACCTCTAACATACTTCCTCCCCGCTATGTTTTTCTCAGTAGCAAATGATCATCCTCTAAAATGTTGTGTACTTTTATTTATTTATTTATTTATATTGTTTATTGTCTATCTCCCCACCCATGTTCCCAGAAAAAATACAAGCACCATGAGAGCAGGGATTTTTTTTTTTTTTTTACTGTATTTTCCCTGATATATCCCCAGCACATAAAAAGGTGCCTGGTTCAAAATAAATCAGTATCAGATGAATGAATAGATGAAAATGGGGAAGTCTAGTTTCATTAAGAATTGCTGTCAATACTGAATAGCCCCTTCTTTCTGAACCCAGTTAAGAAGTTGCATCTTGTGGGAAGTGGGAGGGAGATTTGAGAGGAGGGGACATAAGTATAACTATGACTGATTCATACTGATATATGGCAGAAAAGTGAAAGTGAAGTCAGTCATGTCCGACTCTTTGCGACCCCATGGACTTTAGCCTACCACACTCCTCCGTCCATGGGATTTTCCAGGCAAGAGTACTGGAGTGGGTTGCCATTTCCTTCTCCAGAGGATCTTCCCGACCCAGGGATCGAACCTGGGTCTCCAACACAATATTGTAAAGCAATTATCCTCCAATTAAAAATAAACTTAAAAAAAAAAAAACCTGCATATTCCATGAGAAAATGACAGTCAAAAGGTAGCAGGGAAGCTAAAAACCCTAGTGAATTCTTTGGACCAACAGAGCAATGTGTGGATAACAGTGATTATATTGAAGGTATTATGGACTGAATGTTTGTGTCTCCCTCCCCCAAAATTTACATATTGAAGCCAGAATCCCCAGAGTGATAGGGCCTATGAGGAGGTAATTAAAGGTAAATTAGGTTGTAAGGGTAGAGCCCTAATCCAACAGGCTTAGTGTCCTCAGAAGAAGAAACACCAGGAAGCTCACTTGCTGTCTCTCAAGGCCAGAGGATGAAGCAAGATGGCAGCCATCTACAGACCAGAAGGAGAGCCCTCACCAGACACCAAATCAGCTGGCACCTGGGATGTCCTAGCCTCCAGAGCTCTGAGAAAGTAAACTGCTATAAAGTCACTCAGACTGTGGTTATTCTGTTGGGGCAACCCGAGTCGACTAACACAGAAGGAAAGAGAAGAGTCCGGATCTGAGGCCTCAAGGTACCAGCATACTTCACTCTGTTGTGCTTCACTTTATTGCACTTCACGGATACTGCATTTATTACAAATGGAAAGTTCACGGCAACCCTGCATCGAGCAAAGTCTGTCAGCGGTATTTCTTCCAATAGCCTTTGCTCCCTTTGCGTCTCTGTGTCACATTTGCTACTTCTCACAATATTTTTATTTTTTCATTATTATATTTGTTGTGGTGATCTTTGATGTTACTGTTTTAATTGTTTTGGAGCTCCACGAACTTTGCCCAAATAATTCAGTGAACTTCATAAATGTTGTGTGTGTTCTGACTGCTCCACCAGCCTGCTGTTTCCTTGTCTCTTCAAGTTTCCCTATTCCATGAGACAACAATATTGCAATTAAGCTGATTAATAACTCTAGAATAACCTGTAAGTATTCAAGTGAAAGGAAGAGCCAACAAATGTGGCAAGTTTCAGTGTTGTCTCATTTTAGGAAATTGCCACAGGCACCCCAGCTTTCAGCATCCACCACCCTGATCAGTCAGCATCCATCAACATCAAGGCAAGACCTTCCCATGAGCAAAAAGATTATGACTCTGTTAAGGCTTAGAAAGTGGTTAGCGTTTTTTACCATAGAATATTTTTAAATTAAGGTGTGTACATTGTTTTTTTTAGACATAATGTTACTGCACATAGTAGACTGCAGCTATACCTTTTACATGCACTGAGAAACCAAAAAATTCATGTGACTCTTATTTTGATTTTTGCTTTATTGTAGCAGTCTGGAACTGAACCCACAATACTTCTGAGTTATACTTGTACTAAAGATACACTTTGCCACCCTGAAAATGTGGTTCAAACCCTGTCACCAACAGCAACCTTTTGCCCTTGAAGATCCTGTCTGGATCATCCATCATGTGCTTATGTAGGCCATACATACCCAGACAAATGTAGATATGAAAAAGGTACCCATAGATGGAAGCATTGGTCATGTGATACCCATTTTATAGGTATCAGTATAGATATAAATAATATTTTTCTGGAATAATATATAGATGAGATATGTTAATGCACCTGATACTGGAATTTTTCCTCAATAAATCTTTCCTTTTCAACTAAATTCAGCCTAGGAAGTTGCGCAGGTGCCACAAATTTTAAGAAATTGCTTCTACAGGAGGCCAGTTCAAAACCCTGTGACAAGAGGACATTCAGCCTGAAAGCACACCATACAGGGCATGCGATGCTCTAACACCGGCATCACCATGTGGATGTGGAGCTCTGGATCTCATGACCCTAAATATTAAGAATTGCTGTCTTATAGCTACAGAAAATCTCTCACAAGGCCCATCTTGGCCCACCACCACCACCACCATGAGGTCCTACAGGCTCAGAGCTAAAAAGACACACTTCCAAGCATGGCAAAGGAGAAAGAACAGCATTGACACAGAACTCAAATCTTGTTAGGAAATGCTCTTGAAGACTCTGCCAAGCCCTGTGCGGTCGTGGTGAATATTGCATTAGATCAGTGGACCTCTGGATGAAGCTGGCAGGCGGCAGGGAAAATGTGAAGGATGAGACCAGCTGATTAAGGGAGATTCTGGCCTGTGTCCAGCTGCTCTCATCGGGAGCAAAGCCATTTCTTTTTCCATCCACCTGATGGTAGAGGAGGACCACCAGGACTGCTGAGTCATCACATCTGCAGGGACATTTCTCAAAGAGGAACCACAGATGGTCTTTCTCAAGACCTGGGCCTTATACAGAGGCACTCTGTTCTCGTCTAGAACCATCTTCATTCAAAAGCTTCAGGCCTCAGTCTCTCTCCCTTGGATATATTTTTACCCCATCCCTTCTGACCATGAGGTATACAAGTCCTTACTTCCTTTGGAATAGTCAAAATACATCATCCATTTTAAATGTTGAGTATCATCTAAAAGTTGTACAGCTCTGTGAAGAAGAAGAGGGATACATAAATTTATAATAGAAAATTCTCTGTTCACATAAATATACTTGTGTATTTATCTGTATATTATCTGTTTATGTGAGCATAAAGGGCTTCCCTGGTGGCTCAGCAGTGAAGAACCCGCCTGTCAATGCAGGAGACTTGGATTCAATCCCTGAGTCAGGAAGAACCCCTGGAGAAGAAAATGGAAACCCACTCCAGTATTCTTGCCTGGAAAAATCCCATGGCACAGAGGAATCTAGCAGGCTACAGTCCATGGGGTCACAAAGAGTCGGATGTGACTGAGCAACTGAGCATATGCACACGTGAGCAAAGAGAGTGATGTGGAAGGATCTATATCAAGTTCTTAGTGTTGGTTACCTGGACGGGCAGAACTGAGGAGAAAACCGAGATTGCTGCATGTTTTTAATGCTTCTATATTAGTTCTCCACTTTTTTCTGTGATCCTGTCATTTCTATACCTGGATTCCTAAGTCAATCTTTCCCACTAGAGATTTCCTCCAAAACTTTTATCATTGCAATATCAGAAGCACAAACTGCTTTCCCAAATGCTCCCTATTTCTCTGAGGAATGTCATACTTCTCTTGTCCCCAGAACTCAGTCTTTAACACGTCTTTCTCTTGCCTGACAACCCCACCCCGATTGCATCTTTGCCTCCTGAACTTATTTCCACTGTTACCCTCGTCGGCAAAGTAATGTCTCTGCTTTTTATTTAAAGCAGAGACATTACTTTGCTGACAAATTTCTGTCTAGTCAAGGCTATGGTTTTTCTAGTAGTCATGTATGGATGTGAGAGTTGGACTATAAAGAAAACTGAGCACCGAAGAATTGATGCTTTTGAACTGTGATGTTGGAGAAAGCTCTTCTGAGTCTCTTGGACTGCAAGGAGATCAAACGAGTCAATCCTAAAGGAAATCAACCCTGAATATTCATTGGAAGGACTGATGCTGAAACTCCAATACTTTGGCCACCTGATGTGAAGAACTGACTCCTTGGAAAAGACCCTGATGCTGAGAAAGGTTGAAGGCAGGAGGAGAAGGGAACAACAGAGGATGAGATGGTTGGATGGTATCACTGACTCGATGTATATTTGTTTGAGCAAGCTCCAGGAGTTGGTGATGGACAGAAAAGCCTGTCATGCTGCAGTCCATGGGGTCGCAAAGAGTTGGACATGACTAAGCATCACTACAAACAAAGCTAGTGGAGGTGAAGGAACTCCAGTTGAGCTATTTCAAATCCTGAAAGATGATTCTGTGAAAGTGCTGCACTCAATATGTCAGCAAATTTGGAATACTCAGCAGTGGCCACAGGACTGGAAAAGGTCAGTTTTCATTCCAATCCTAAAAAAAGGCAATGCCAAAGAATGCTCAAACTACCTCACAATTGCACTCATCTCACACACTAGCAAAGTAATGTTGAAAATTCTCCAAGCCAGACTTCAGCAATACATGAACCATGAACTTCCAGATGTTCAAGCTGGTTTTAGAAAAGGCGGAGGAACCAGAGATCAAATTGCCAACATCTGCTGGATCATCGAAAAAGCAAGAGAGTTGCAGAAAAACATATATTTCTGCTTTATTGACGATGCCAAAGCCTTTGACTGTGTGGATCACAATAAACTGTGGAAAATTCCTCAAGAGATGGGAATACCACACCACCTGACCTGCCTCTTGAGAAACCTGTATGCAGGTCAGGAAGCAACAGTTAGAACTGGACATAGAACAACAGACTGGTTCCAAATGGGAAAAGACTTTATATTGTCACCCTTCTTATTTAACTTATATGCAGAGTACATCGTGAGGAACGCTGGGCTGGAAAAAGCACAAGCTGGAATCAAGATTGCCAGGACAATATCAATAACCTCAGATGTGCAGATGACACCACTCTTACAGCAGAAAGTGAAGAAGAACTAAAGAGCCTCTTGATGAAAGTGAAAGAGGAGAGTGAAAAAGTTGGCTTAAAGCTCAACATTCAGAAACCTAAGATCATGGCATCCTGTCCCATCACTTCATGGCAAATAGATGGGGAAACAGTGGGAACAGTGGCTGACTTTATTTTTCTGGGCTCCAAAATCACTGCAGATGGTGATTGCAGCCATGAAATTAAAAGATGCTTACTCCTTGGTAGGAAAGTTATGACCAACCTAGACAGCATATTAAAAAGCAGAGACATCACTTTGTCAACAAAGTTCCGTCTAGTCAAGGCTATGGTTTTTCCAGTGGTCATGTATGGATGTGAGAGTTGGACTATAAAGAAAACTGGGCGCTGAGGAATTGATGCTTTTGAACTGTGGTGTTGGAGAAGACTCTTGAGAATTTCTTGGACTGCAAGGAGATCCAATCAGTCCATCCTAAAGGAGATCAGTCCTGGGTGTTCACTGGAAGGACTGATGTTGAAGCTGAAACTGCAATACTTTGGCCACCTGATGTGAAGAGCTGACTCATTGGAAAAGATCCTGATGCTGGGAAAGATTGAGGACAGGAGGAGAAGGGGACAACAGAGGATGATATGGTTGGATGGCATCACCAACTCAATGGACATGGGTTTGGGTGGACTCCGGGAGTTGGTGATGGACAGGGAGGCCTGGTGTACTGTGGTTCATGGGGTCGCAAAGAGTCAGACACGACTGAGAGACTGAACTGAACTGAACTGAAGTGACTGAACTGACCCTTGCTCAGAGCCTCACTGCTGATTTCTGCCAAGGTCACTGCAGGATTCTCAGAAACCAAGCCACCCCCTGCTCCAGCTTCTCCCACCTCCTACATCTCTTCTGATGCTTCTAATGTGAAGCTTCAACCCAGTCACTCAGTTAAATGTCTCATTGCCTTCTGAATAAGCTCCAATCCAGACTCACACTAGTATTCAAGGGCCTTCATTGTATAGATTCCAACTATTCCATCTTCACCCTTTGCTGTTCTCATACAGCCCATTTGCACACAAGCCAGCCTGGAGCTCACACTTAGGAAGGTACATGCAATGATTTTCTATCTGCATATCTCTGTTGATTCTTGGAATTCTCTGCCCTCTCCATCTCTGCCTATGGAAATTCTTCCCATCCCCTAAAGTTCATTTTGGAGGCCACTACCCCCTAACAAAATGTGTTCCCCTTCCCGCCCCATCCCCGCGCCCCACCACCACCCCACCTCTGAGTGCCTATAATACTTGGTAGGTCTTTGTAGGTTCTCATATCAATTTGTCCTGTTAGTCATTTCTGAACTTCTCTCATCTACTCTACTATTTGAAGGCTTATTAAAGAAACAGATTAACTTAGTCCTGTCTATCTCTCCTCACCATCTAATTGCGCTTGGTACTTAACAGTACTTATACAAGGTAGGCACTCTACTAACATTTGTGAACTTGGTTTGAGTTGACATTTGTCTGCAGAGAAATCAAGAGTGAAAAGACTAACACAAGTTGAGCAATCACTATGTTCCAGGCACTAAACTTAAGTGTTCTGTTAGTTTTGCTTCATTTTAACATAACATAACATAATTATGTAGCTATACACAATAACAAACTAACTAGGAGGTCCTATAAGACAATATCAGCAGTAGACACTTCTGCATATTTACTTATTATTGCAAGGATATGCACTTCCTTGGTGGCTCAGCTTGTTAAGAATTCACCTGCAATGTGGGAGGCCTGGGTTCAATCCCTGAGTTGGAAAGATCCCCTGGGAAAGGGAAAGGCTACCCACTCCAGTATTCTGGACTAGAGAATTCCATGGACTGTACAGTCCACGGGGTCACGAAAAGTCGGACACAACTGAGTGACTTTAACTATACACTCACTATTATTAGGATTGTGAAAAATGATCATCAGGCAGTAAGAAATTATGAAGTACACATTTTCAAGGAAAGATTACTTTGATTTCTATGATCTTACAGTTATTTGACACTATGATACCATATCATATGCAAAGTAGGTCAGTGTTCGGTGTACTTTACAACATTCTATGATATAGCATATCATAAAATAATATCAGCTATACTATTTGACCTGAACATCCTATTTTCTGATTGTGCCAATTACCAGTATATGCATCATTTCCTATAACTCTAACACTGTGATATTAAAGAAACTATGCTTACTTAAAAATGAATGCTTATAAACCTAAACATGCAAGGAAAATAGCTCAGAAACAAAAATAACTCTTAGATTAAAACAATACTGGACTTATTTTTATTCCATAAAAAGAAACTGTTTTTAGAGGAAAATTCCCCTGCAAACCTTATTTATATATATATATATATATATCATTCCCATATAGTGCCATATAGCCTCCCCTGAATTTCAATCCTTAAACCTTTTATTTCTAATAGTACCCAATTTTATACAGTCCTTTGAAATAATAAAAGCTTATTTTATGTTTTTAGAAATAAATTATAATCGAGAAAGATTATCTTAAATAAAGATATGTAACTTACCAACAAAGAAGTCCGAAATGGCCAAGTTAAGAAAAAAGTAATTACTTCGATGTCTAAGATTTTTGTCCACCACAAAAGCTAAAATGACCACAGCATTTCCTAGCATTATAGCAAAAGCTAGTAAGCTCATTAAAAATGCTAAAGCAATATTTGAAAAAGAATTTATGTCATTACTAGCTGTCATCACAGCAGAAGAATTTGTGTCATTAGTAAATGGCATCACATGAGAAGAATTTGTGCCATTAGTAGACATGACATCAAACTTAATACAGCAAACTAAGCCAGCAAAACAATTCTGACAAGAGTCTTTTCCAGTCGAACACCTAAAATATATAGTCTACACATAACAACATTTTTAAAAAGGCTAATGCTGATCTCATAGTACTTCCTGATTCTTGATAAAAGCAAACTTGTGGTAACAGTTTCCTCTTAACTGACACTGAAGAAGTGTTTCCAAAGACAGTGAAAGGTCTTATCTTAAACATTTTGATGTAACTCATCTATTTCCCATTAATAGAGCAATATTATATAAAATATAACTGATACACTTTATAGGTAAGGAATTGGACTCAAATAAGAAGATATAAATCCAGTTAAATGTCCCCTTTAGACCAAGATATAATATCAGGGGCTGAATTCACCATCACAGCTGAAACAGTGGAAAAAAATGGACAGAACATATGAAACCGCAGTTTTTGAGGCACTGGACATCAGGCAATGAAGAACATTAATCCCTGAGAGAAGAGGAGAAAATGAGGAAAGCCCTGCAGTTGCCCCAGCTCGTTGTCTTGAGAGATCTTGCAGGGCACAGAGCAGAAAAGGGCATCCAGAGGAAGCCCAGCAAGTCCCCTGAGATAGGGAGGTTAAGCTGAGTTGGGCAGTACCAGACAGAACTCTGTGCTGGGGAGCTGCAGAGGGTCCTCCTCAAGCATTCACCAGGATACTGACCAGCACAGTGTGTGGGGACATGTTCTCAGACAGGAAGAAGAACCACTCAAAAAGATTAACAATACCCAGGAGTCACAGGGAGCCAGTTACAAAATCGTTCCCACAAGTTAGACACGAAATCTCAATTCATGAGTAACTGAGTAATTCACTCAAAAAGCCATTGAGTAATATTCCACATTCAGAAAGGCCTTGCCTCAGTAGTCAGAAATAGGTAGCCCCTTACTGAAATACTGCTAGGATCCTGCCTCACAAATCTTAAAACCAAAACCTGAAAGGATCAAACTAGTTCCAAGTGACTTAACAGCAGCTCAAGAGTATTTGTAAAAATATCCAGTCCCCAACAAGGTAAAATTTATACCATCTGAAATCCAATTAAGAATAATCAAGCATGCCAAGAAGCAGGCAAATAACACCCATAATGCAGAGAAAAATCTATCAGTGAAACCCATGACTGACACAAATACAAAGACATTAAAGCAGTTATTCTAGCTGTATTCCATATTTTTAAACAGATATATGATACAATTTTTAAAAAACAAGATGGCAGAGTAGAAGGATGTGCCCTTATCTTCTCCTCTGAAATCTCCAAAATTGCAACTAAGCTCTGAACAACCATTGACAGGAGAATGTTGGATCCCACCAAAAAAAGACATCCCACTTCCAAGGGCAAAGGATAAGCCCCAACCAGACAGTAGGAGGGATGAAATCACATTTAGAATCAAACCCATAGAGATCTCTTCAAGAAACTTAGAGATACCAAGGAAACATTTCATGCAAAGATGTGTACAATAAAGAACAGAAATGGTATGGACCTAACAGAAGAAGAAGATATTAAGAAGAGGTGGCAAGAATACACAGAAGAACTGTACAAAAAAGATTTTGTGACCCAGATAACCACAATGGTGTGATCACTCACCTAGAGCCAAACATCCTGGAGTGTGAAGTCAAGTGAGCCTTAGGAAACATCACTAAGAACAAAGCTAGTGGAGGTGATGGAATTCCAGTTGAGCTATTTCAAATCTTAAAAGATGATGCTGTGAAAGTGCTGCACTCAATATGCCAGCAAACTTGGCAAACTCAGCAGCGGCCACTGAATTATAAAAGGTCAGTTTTCATTCCAATCCCAAAGAAACGCAATGTCAAAGAATATTCAAACTACCACGTAATTACACTCATCTCACACACTAGCAAAGTAATGTTGAAAATTCTCCAAGCCAGGCTTCAGCAATACATGAACCATGAACTTCCAGATGTTCAAGCTAGTTTTAGAAAAGGCAGAGGAACCAGAGATCAAATTGCCAACATCTGCTGAATCATCGAAAAAGCAAGAGAGTTGCAGAAAAACATCTATTTCTGCTTTATTGACTATGCCAAAGCTTTTGACTCTGTGGATCACAACAAACTGTGGAAAATTCCTCAAGAGATGGGAATACCAGACCACCTTATTTGCCTCCAGAGGAATCTTTATGCAGGTCAAGAAGCAACAGTTAAAACCAGATGTGAAACAACAGACTGGTTCCAAATTGGGAAAGGAGTCCGTCAAGGCTATATGTTGTCATCTTGCTTATTTAACTTATATACAGAGTACATCATGCGAAATGCCAGGCTGGATGAAGCTCAAGCTGGAATCAAGATTGCCAGGAGAAATATCAACAACCTCAGATATGCAAGTGACACCACCCCTATGGCAGAAAGTGAAGAGGAACTAAAAAGTCTCTTGATGAAAGTGAAAGAGGAGAGTGAAAAAGCTGGCTTAAAATTCAACATTCAGAAAACTGAGATCATGACATCTGGTCCCATCACTTCATGGCAAATAGATGGGGAAACAATGGAAACAGTGTCAGACTTTATTTTCTTGGCCTCCAGAATCACTGCAGATGGTGACTGCAGCAATGAAATTAAAAGATGCTTGTTCCTTGGAAGAAAAGCTATGGCCAATCTAGACAGCATATTAAAAAGCAGAAACATTACTTTATTGACAAAGGTCCATCTCGTCAAAGCTATGGTTTTTCCAGTAGTCATGTTTGGATGTGAGAGTTGGACTATAAAGAAAGCTAAGTGCCAAAGAATTGATGCTTTTGAACTGTGGTGTTGGAGAAGACTGTTGAGAGTCATTTGGACTGCAAGGAGATCAAGCCAGTCCATCCTATAGGAAATCAACCCTGAATATTCATTGGAAGGACTGATGCTGAAACTCCAACACTTTGACCATCTGATGCGAACAACTGACGCATTTGAAAAGACCCTGATCCTGGGAAAGATTGAAGGCAGGAAGAGAAGGGGATGACAGAGGATGAGATGGTTGGATGACACCACCGACTCAATGGACATGAGTTTGAGCAAGCTCCAGGAGTTGGTGATAGACAGGGACGTCTGGTGTGCTGCAGTCCATGGGGTCATAAAGAGTCAGACACAACTGAGTGACTAAACTGATAACAGATATGAAGGGCTTCCTTGGTAGCTCACCTGGAAAGAATCTGCAATGCAGGAGACCCCGGTTCAATTATTGGGTTGGGAAGGTACCCTGGAGGAGGGCACGGCAACCCACTCCAATATTCTTGCCTGGAAAATCCCCGTGGACAGAGGAGTCTGCTGGGATATAGTCCATGGGGTCGCAATGAGTCAGACATGACTGAGTGACTAAACACATAGATAAAAAAGATATTTTTAAAAGACCCAAATGAAACTTCTAGAAATGAAAACTGAAATGTATGAACTAAAAATACATTAGAAAGGATTAATGAAAGATCAGAAATTGTGGAAGAAAGGATCATGAACATGAACACAGAGCAATATAAACTACTCAAAGTGAAAAACGGATGTAAAAGAGAATTTTTTTTCATTTAAGAGAGCTTTACTACACTATAGAACAACTTCAAGTGACTTAATGTATACCTACAGAAGTCCCTGCAGGAAAGTAGAGAGGAGGGAACATAAGGGAAAAAATTGCAGAAATCATGGACAAAAGCTTTCATCATTTGATGAAAACTATACGCCAAGAAGTGCAATGAAATTTAAACACAAGAAACGTGGTGAAAACTGCACAAAGCACATCAAATCAAACCCTTAAAAACCAGTGTTTTAAGAAAAAGTCTTAAGAGCAGCCAGAGGAGGAAAATTACATGCAAAATAAAAAAATACATGGATGGCAGCAGATTTCTCATCAGAAACAATGTAGGCAAGAAGATACTAGTCAACATCTTTCAAGGGCTGAAAAAAAAAATCAACTTAGAATTCTGTACCTAATAAAAATAACTTTAAAAAAAAAGTTGAAATAAAGAATTTTTCAGATGTATAAAAGCTGAAAGGACTCACCATGAGGAAACTAACACTACAAGAAATGTGAAAGGAAGTTCTTCAGGCAGGGGAAAATAGATCCAAATGGAAACAGGAATCTATACAGAGGAATGAAGAACAACAGAAATGGAAGTCTTCTTGCTTGTTTACCCTAAATAGAAGTAAGGTGCTAAGGGCTAAGGCTGCATTTTGTTTCATTTTGTCTTATTATTTTTTGTTTAAGTACGATATATATACAACAAAAGCACATAAATCACAACTGTATAAAGTACACATATCATAGATGTGTAACTGATTAATTTTTACAAATCGAACATATCCCTGGAACTACTACCCCAGGCAGGAAACAAATCACCTTGGGAACTCCCTGGCGCCTGAGACTGGGTGGTCCAGTGGTTGAGACCACACGCTTCCAATGCAGGGGGCTTGGATTCCATCCCTGGTCAGGGAACAAAGATCCCACATGGCATGACCTAAATAAATAAAGGAGAAATTTTTTAAAAAGAAACAAGCACCTCAGAAATTCCCTTACCTAGTCAGTCAACCCTGTGGGTAAAACTGTCTTGACATTTACAATCATAAATTAATTATGCCCATTTTTGTATTTTATAAATGAAACTGTATGTTCAAAATTTACATTAAAATGCTTCATATATTCTATATGGCATGATTAAATTATAAATAAATTTGTATTAATATATTCTACCCCAATATAATTTGTTAGTTTCATTTGCATTGCTTCTCAATTTACTAAAGTGAAGAAAAAAAGAATTGGCTACATTTCCCTTTTCTTATAATTTCAACGGAAGGGAAAAAAACTATTTTTATCACTTGGTAACCATAAGCTGAGCCTGGAGCTTCCTTATTGAACAATTCTACTTCATATGTATTCATTAGGTAACCACTTCAAAAACCTGGAGTAGGATCTGGGTAATAAAAAAGGATATATACCTCAGAACCTACATGTCTTTCGAATATATACAGTTTTCCAAAAGAAAGAGACTGATG